GCTGCCACCACCATGTTTGACAGTGGGGATGGTGTGTTCAGGGTGATGAGCTGTGTTGCTTTTACGCCAAACATATCGTTTTGCATTGTGGCCAAAAAGTTCGATTTTGGTTTCATCTGACCAGAGCACCTTCTTCCACATGTTTGGTGTGTCTCCCAGGTGGCTTGTGGCAAACTTTAAACAAGACTTTTTATGGATATCTTTGAGAAATGGCCACTCTTCCATAAAGGCCAGATTTGTGCAGTGCACGACTGATTGTTGTCTTATGGACAGACTCTCCCACCTCAGCTGTAGTTATCTGCAGTTCATCCAGAGTGATCATGGGCCTCTTGACTGCATCTCTGATCAGTCTTCTCCTTGTTTGAGATGAAAGTTTGGAGGGAGGGCCGGGTCTTGGTAGATTTGCAGTGGTCTGATACTCCTTCCATTTCAATATAATTTTTTGCACAGTGCTCTTTGAGATGTTTAAAGCTTGGGAAATCTTTTTGTATCCAAATCCAGCTTAAAACTTCTGCACAACAGTATCTCGGACCTGCCTGGTGTGTTCCTTTGTCTTCATGGTTCTCTCTGCGCTTTAAACAGAACCCTGAGACTATCAAAGAGCAGGTGCATTTATACGGAGACTTGATTACACACAGGTGCATTCTATTTATCATCATCAGTCATTTAGGACAACATTTGATCATTCAAAGATCCTCACTGAACTTCTGGACTGAGTTTGCTGCACTGAAAGTAAAAGGGCCGAATAATATTGCACGCCCCACTTTTCAGTTTTTTATTTGTTAAAAAAAGTTTAAATTATCCAATACATTTCGTTCCACTTCACGATTGTGTCCCACTTGTTGTTGATTCATGACAAAAAAATAAAATTTTATATCTTTATGTTTGAAGCCTGAAATGTGGCGAAATGTTGAAAGGTTCAAGGGGGCCGCATACTTTCGCAAGGCACTGTGGGATCTGCCCATTTTTTTCTTGTGTTAATCTACCTTTAGTCACTTTGCTCTGTTGTCTCTAATGTAAATGTAAATCTAATGCCATAATGTGAAAGATTCCTGCTGTAATATAAGAACAACAGCTGTGTCCCCTTTAACCTGAAGAGGCCAATAACGAAACTAAGGAAAGCACTTATAACCCGGACAATGTCTTCTCCGGGGGTTTGATGACAAGTTTGGTATTAAATTAAACATTCTTCAGACGATTTAAGTGGTCTGTAGTCCAGCTTAATCCAATTAGAGTTATCGAGTGTGATAAAAAAAGGCGGCTAAACTGCTGCTCTGTGAATACTCAGGCACTTTTTACCATTTTAATAAAAGTCTCAATATTCCGACTCCATCCAGAGAGGAAATGGCCACTTCCGAGGCTGTCCCCTGTGATAATAGCCTCTTCAGACCACAAGGCACATTCTGAAGGAGAGAAATGTGCAGAGCTGACGCTGGTGATGGGAGGGGGAGAGATCAGAGAGAGACCAGAGAGAGACCGGAGAGGGACACCAGAGAGACACCAGAGAAAGGTCAGAGAGAGACCAGAGAGAGACCAGAGAGGGACACCAGAGAGACACCAGAGAAAGGTCAGAGAGAGACCGGAGAGAGACCAGAGAGGGACACCAGAGAGACATCAGAAAGAGTGATCAGAGAGAGATGAGAGAGAGAGGCCAGAGAGGGACACCAGAGAGAGAGATCTGAGAAAGATCAGAGAGAGACCAGATGGAGACTGGAGAGGGACACCAGAGAGAGAGATCTGAGAAAGATCAGAGAGAGAGACCAGATGGAGACTGGAGAGGGACACCAGAGAGAGAGACCAGATGGAGACTGGAGAGGGACACCAGAGAGAGAGATCTGAGAAAGATCAGAGAGAGAGACCAGATGGAGACTGGAGAGGGACACCAGAGAGAGAGAGATCTGAGAAAGATCAGAGAGAGAGACCAGATGGAGACCGGAGAGGAACACCAGAGAGACACCAGAAAGGGAGATAAGAGAGAGATGAGAGAGAGTGGCCAGAGAGGGACTGGAGAGAGAGACCAGAGAGAGAGACCAGAGAGAGACCCAAAAGAGAAACCAGACAAAGGTCTGAGAGCATCCAGAGTAGGGTCAGAAACCAGAGAGAGACCAGAGAGACCAGAGAGACCAGAGAGAGAGACCAGAGAGAGAGACCAGAGAGAGACCAGAGGTACACTGCTATGTGACAAGAGAGAGACCCAAAAGAGAAACCAGACAAAGGTCTGAGAGCATCCAGAGTAGGGTCAGAAACCAGAGAGAGACCAGAGAGAGACCAGAGAGACCAGAGAGACCAGAGAGAGAGACCAGAGAGAAAGACCAGAGAGAGACCAGAGGTACACTGCTATGTGACTTTAGAAGACTTTTTATACCCTTTTATTTTGCTAGGAAAAGCCTACAGGGGTCCAAACAACACGCCAACCTTTCCCACCATTGTCTCAGGTCAATGCCACCTCGACAGGGCTCCAAAGACTTGATGAAGCGTTCTGGCGTCTCTGAATCTGCCAAACACACAGATGTTGGGAGAAAACATTTCATTTCTCATGCCCGGATTTCATCAGTGGCAAAAACAACGGCGTTCACCTTCTGCGTTTTCAAAGAGTCACGATCAAAGCTTTAATAATGAACAGGAATATTTCTATCTCACACTTTTCCACCCAGATCTCAGACTGGAGAGTTCTGCAGCACTCTGACCACTCCTTACCACACGGATAGATTCTGTATTTGTGGATTCACAAAATCTAAGTTATAAAATGAGTCATTATTTTGAAGAAATCCTTAATCCAGTCATCTCAAACTTAATTATGCTGTGGGTCCCCGGACAAGTGTGGTGAAGTATAGTAAAAGTCTCTCTCTCTGGTCTCTCTCGCTCTCTTTCTGGTCTCTCGTTTCGCTCTTGTTTCTTCAGTCTCTTTCCGGTCTATAGTCTCTCTTTAGCTGGTCTCTCTCTCTAGTCTCGCTCTCTTTCTGGTCTCTCGTTTCTCCCTCTTGTTTCATCAGTGTCTTTCCGGTCTCTGGTCTCTGTTCTCTCTCTCTCTCTCTCTGGTCTCTCTCCGATATCCTTCTCTCTGGTCTCTCTCTTTCTCTGGTCTCTCTATTTCTCTGGTCTCTCTCTCTCTCTGGTCTGTCTCTCTCTTTGGTCTCTCTCTGGTCTCTCTCTCTGGTCTGTCTCTTTCTTTGGTCTGTCTCTCTCTTTGGTCTCTCTCTGGTCTCTCTCTCTGTTGTGTCCCTGTTGTTCATGGTCTCTCTCTCTGATCTCACTCTGTTGGCCCTCTATCATCTCTCCATCTTGTTTCTTCAGTCTCTTTCCTGTCTCTGGTATCTCTCTCTTGCCTCTCTCTTGTCTCTTCTGCCTTTTTTCTGACTGTGCTCTCTCTCTGGTCCCTCTCTGGTCTCTCTCTCTCTGTCCGTGGTCTCTCTCTTACCCTGGGTCCACTGCACTGACTTTAGAAGACTTTTCCCACCGTAGTTCCAGGTCAACACATGTCTGCACGGCCATTCCTCCTGCTCTCTTTAACCATAGAGGGCAGTAACCACGTCGATTCAACTTTTATCCTCTCATTATTGCCATATTTTTCAGACGGATCTCACAAAATTTGTTCCTCGTTCATTCCAATTACAGACCTTTGACAACACCAGAGATAGAAAGTTTTGCTCCAGCCAAAGCTCTGGGTTTCTCAATTCATTACCGTCGTTGTCGCTGAGTAATTTTCACTTACAATAACAATATTTTCATCTGCAAATTATCACATATTGGGGGTGGTATAAAGCAGCACATTTTTCATGCAGAGAAGGACCGCTGCTTTTTCAACAGCTCTCCAATAACGGCTACAAATTGCTTTTTTTCCTTTTTACCTCCTTCGCTGCGTCGTTATTTTTTGATAGCTTCACCACGTCCGCGGATGCCAGGGAAAACACCCGCAACATTAAAACGTAAACAGACTTTAAAATGCTAATCGAAAGACGGATTTTCTTTTTTGTGGCAACAAGGGAGAGCAGAAATCATGTGTAATGGTGGTTTCTCCACAACACTGGGATAATCCAGGCTCTCTCTGCTCCCGTCAGCCCCAGGCCACTGTCAGAGAGACTAATGGACTTCAAACCGAGAAAAATGTAGTGTGTGTGTGTGTGTGTGTGTGTGTGTGTGTGTGTGTGTGTGTGTGTGTGTGTGTGTGTGTGTGTGTGTGTGTGTGTGTGTGTGTGTGTGTGTGTGTGTGTGTGTGTGTGTGTGTGTGTGTGTGTGTGTGTGTGTGTGTGTGTGTGTGTGTGTGTGTGTGTAGGTAGGAGGGAATGGAAGAAGGAAGACAAAATGGGATATTTAAAGTAGTCTCTCTGGTCTCTTTCTCTGATCTTTCTCTCTCTCTCTCTGGTCTCTCTTTCTCTAGTCTCTCTCTCTCCGGTCTCTCTGAACGAGGAGAATGAGGTGAAGCAGAAGGTTCCTCCAGCCGTGAGCGTGAGAACATCTGTGCCACAGAGACAGAAGCCGCTCGGGTTCGAGGCCAGATGCAAGTCGTGTTTATGGTGTTTACAGCGAGGGCCTCCGGGAGCAGGACGGCAACAGAAGGTTCCAGATCCTTCACGTTTCCACCACAGAGCATAAGGTTTATGTACTGTATGATCCACAAAACATGGTGCAGCTGGAGAGAGAGCGCCTCCTGGTGTCTCTGGTGTCATGCAAGAGCAGGTTGCAAATATGTAGAGAAATATGGTCTCTCTCTGGTCTCTCTCTGGTCTCTCTCTGGTCTCTCTCTGGTCTCTCTCTGGTCTCTCTCTGGTCTCTCTCTGGTCTCTCTCTGGTCTCTCTCTCACGAATGTGGAGAAACAAGATAGAGAAGTCTGTTCGGTCTTTCCTGTGGTGAAAAGTCAACACAGGCCCAAACAACACGCCAACCTTTCCCACTAGTCGACAAATAGTATTAAGAGGTACAGTAAATATGGGCAGTCATGACTAGGTGAAGAGAGTAGAGTAGAGTAGAGTAGAGTAGAGTAGGTCTGTCAGAAGGATACTGGTCGGACTGTGGGCGTCTGAAGGTCTCTGGCAGATGAGACTCGTACACCAGCTTGGCTCTTCTGTTTCCCATCTCCACCATACTCTGCACACAACAACAAAGAACCATGATATAGTTCACCGAGAGATCAGAGAGAGAAACCACAGAGACAGACCAGAGAGAGGCAAGACAGAGAGACCAGAGAGGGACCAGAGAGAGACCAGAGAGAGACCAGAGAGGGGCCAGAGAGAGGCCAGAGAGAGAAACAACAGAGACAGACCAGAGAGAGGCCAGACAGAGAGACCAGAGAGAGAGACCAGAGAGAGGCCAGAGAGAGAAACCAGAGAGAGGCAAGAAAGAGAGACTAGAGCAGGGGTGCCCAAAGTGGGGCCCGCGGGCCAAAGTTGGCCCGCCGGACCATTTCAGTTGGCCCGCCTAACATTGCCCACCTCCTCTGTAAGTTTCTAACTGCGTCCCTTAGCCTCGCTGAACAAACAGTGACATGTCTGAGATCGCACAGGCGCACCAACGCCCTCTGAACCACGACTGTCCAGTACTTTACTGTTGTATCGAGATACACTCCTCACTCATGGTTCACATCTACTTGCACTAAAATGTTTTTTAAAATCAAACACATCTTTCAAAACAATTGGGTGCAAGGCCCCTTTATGTTCTTTTTTTTCAGCCTACTATTATAATTTTTTTGAGCAATTTAATGTTTTATCAAATTGAGAGGATTGTGCTGGCGAACTGCCACTCCCCCTCCTCACCGGAGGGAATTGGCGAGTGGAACTATTCACCTGCGCAATCCGCACCCACCCGGTGTGTTTAAAAAAGACGGACACACACACTTCAGAGTGAGTTCAAGCAGGACAAGCAGGGATCGCAGCGCACGATCCACGCAAGTAGAAGCAACAAATACTGCGCAAAACAAACCCTTCTACAACCCCATGAAAGAAGCCGGTAAGCGCCGTCCTCACTCGCGATCATTGAATGTCAGAACTTACGCTGAGTTTTATGATGCGTTCAAGAGCCCTTTGGAGGAGCGGAAACACGGACTCTTTAACAGGTTCCTTGAGTTTGTTTTGTTTTACCTAAACACAGTACGACATTTATAAACAATCAAAACAAAGTAACTATCATGGATAACTAGTCTGATTTCGTTAGTTTAATATTCAGTTCACTACTAATTGAGAATACTTGCCCTATGTTAAAAATATTGAGTTAAAACAGAGTTAAACCTGATCATGTTTAGAAAATGCAGTTAGCAAATGTTCCCAAATTCATTACTAAAAGTTAAAATGTATTGTTTAAAAGTGTGCTAAAACCAGATCTATTGATCAGTGATGTCTCCCCTTTTTGATAAAAGCTAAGATAAAGTAATATGATTCAAATGTAGTTAAAAACATTTGTTCAAAATAAATATATGAAAATAGACTTTACTTTTGTAAAGTAAATGTCATTAGTACAATAAACCTATACATTATAAATCACTGTACTATAGTAATGCAAAACTGTTTAGAAAAAAGGTCTTCAACAAACAGTTTACTGACATGAGCAGGTTAAAAATATAGATTATTTAATTTGGGAGTATGATATTATTTAATATAAATTAGTACTTTCATTTACTAACAGGAACATTATTTGTTTACAAGTGGCGTTTAAAAAACAGTTTAGCTACATAGAAAATGTATGTTTCTGTTCTCTTTTAGAGGTTTTTTATATGATTTTAAGCTGTAAATAAGCCATGACAGAAAATCTCCCTCCTCTGGACCCTGATTACCCGGCCGGAATCTTTCCGTACTGTAGTCTCCTCAAACCTGCATATTTCCCAGGAGCCTCCACTTCACTAAGACTGTGTTGATTTCATTCATTCAGCTGTGATTTGCACTGATAGACAATAATTAATGCATTTAATAGAACTTGATCAAATCTACATTTATTTGTGTTTCATGCGAAATATCGGTGTATTTGGCCCCGGGCCGACTGGCAAATTTTTACTTTGGCCCTTGGAAGCAAAAGGTTTGGGCACCCCTGGACTAGAGAGAGAGACCAGAGATAGAGACAGGAGAGAGACCAGAGACAGGCACCAGAGATGGAGACCAGAAAGGGAGAGCAGAGAGGGACCGGAGAGAGACCAGAGAGGGACTAGCGAGAGAGACCAGAGAGGGACCACAGAGAGGGACCACAGAGAGAGACCAGAGAGAGACTAGATATTAAACACCTGTGAATGTAATACTTTTACAACACAATGCAGTGAATAGGTGCAGTGACTGTTCAAACTCCAGCTATAACAAACTCAAATCCTCCATTAGCATCATGTTAGCGACGATGTACCTCCTCCGCTGCCTTTGTCGGCCTAAATACCTGTCAACACCGACTCTTGTTGATTGATTCCCCAAACATCCTTTTCGCACACACTTCCTAATCCTCTCCATTCATTGGTTTCTCCTGTTCTGTGAGCACACTCTGAGGCCGCGGTCCCTTCTCCGCTGAATGTTAATGGCTCTTTTGAATGAGTAATTAATTCTGGATGGCTGCTTGTGCGCGGGCTCATTCATCAGAGAAGCCCTCAATGCTAGTTTCGCTCGGACATATGGACGCGGCGCTCGGCTGTCCCAGAGGCGGAGACTGGGGGAATGCAAATGGGAACAATGAGGAGAAGAAGTGCAAGAAGTGGCTCCCAAGTGCAAGTTAATTTGTCATGTTCTTGGAAAGTGGACTGTGGAGATATGGCTCGACCGTAATATTGACACTGTGAGAAGAAAAGGCCTGAGGGATTGACTTTGGGAGACTCTAATCATTGTTCATTTTGTCCGAACATGTACATGTTGAATGTAAGGTTTTCATGTTGCAATGTTAGGCCTGAACCATGAATCCTGGATCTACAGCAGTGTTTTTCAACCACTGTGCCGCGGCACACTAGTGTGCCGTATGATATTGTCTGGTGTGCCGTGAGAAATTCGTCTACTTTGTCTAAAAATAACTGCATTCGCTGTTGACGAGCGGTGACTTGTTTTGAACTGTGAGTAACCATGTAATACTTTTTCAAATCAGTAGATGGCAGCAGATAGCTAAGTACTTTGAAACTGAAAAATTGGATGCGACCACTGGCTACAGGTCAGCATTGTGGCGAGAAAGGTAAAATTGGATGCGACCAACAAATGTGGGAGGGAGCGAGACAAGAGCTTTGTGGCGAGTGAGAAGTGAAAGTGATAGAGACGTTTTTGAAAATGAATTATGCCGTTTCTGAACAGGATTAACATCCTCCGCTCTGCCCCGGGGCAGCTGTGGCCGCGTTGTAGTGGTTTAACTATGAAATGTACAATTTTTGTACAACAGCTCTCGCGAACGCACTTCTGAACTGGGTACCGAGCGCAGACCATAGTCGAGTGGACAGAACCATAGACATGCGGACCGGACAGAACCATGGACTCGCGTTCAGGACCTCCCGTGTCCCTCATCCAAAACTCCTGAATTTAAAGCTCGGATACCAAAATGTTTCCCATGCACTAACAATGCATGTTCTTTGTGTGAGTTATTATTTGACTATTTGGGCAGAGAGTGGATTTTCTTAGTTTTTTTCCACACAGTTAGTGCCACTTTATTACCAAACTCTTGTTAATTGTATCGAGAAATGTTAAATAAAGCTTAATGTCAAGGCCTGGACTTAAGCATTTTGATGAGAATAACTGTATATTGTGAATATAGGCTACAGAGTATACTGTATACATTATAAGATAAGATAAGATATACTTTATATATCACACAGAGTATGTACAGTATATATTTTTACATTAGTACTGTATACATTTTTACATTTTCTCCTGGAGGTGTGCCGCAAGATTTTTTCAGTGAAAAAAGTGTGCCTTGGCTCAAAAAAGGTTGAAAAACACTGATCTACAGTCTCAGTCCTGGATCTAGAGTCTCAGTTCTGGATCAACAGTCTCAGTCCTGGGTCTACGGCCTCAGCCCTGGATCTACAGCCTCAGTCTTGGGTCTACAGCCTCAGTCCTGGGTCTACGGCCTCAGTCCTGGATCTACAGCCTCAGTCCAGGATCTACAGCCTCAGTCCTGGGTCTACGGCCTCAGTCCTGGATCTACAGCCTCAGTCCTGGATCTACAGCCTCAGTCCTGGATCTACAGCCTGGGGTCTGTGATTTAAGGTCAGTGAGGATTCGGGACATTTACTGACATTTCTTGACAGTGGTCATGGCTTCTATGTGTTTGTTTATATTGTATAATCCCTGTGTTTGAACAGGGATTAGGGTTAGAATTAGAGGGTTAGGGTTAGGGTTTCTTCATTCCCATAGAGTTACAATAGATAGACAGACAGACAAAAAAAGCAATAACCATCAAAAACAAGGAGCGAGGCGACTGGGAGAGGTGATACCTGTATCTGCTCTGGAGTCCACTGGTCCAGGTTCACGGACTTGACTCTGGAAATGTGGACTCCCAGGTTGCGGTGGATCCCGGCACAGCGGATGCACATGAACACACCCAGGTTCCAGGCCGCCCAGCGAGGACCTGGAGGAACCACAACACGGGTCAGGGATATTAACTCTTCAGATACAGGGGCCAAAGCAAGGGAGACATCTCTGAGCTAGCGGCTTAGCATTGTCCATCTATATACAGTCTATGGTAATACAAGGAGACAATCAATTCCATTTACCATGAGAGGTGGACAAAGTGACAGTATACAAAACCCTTCTCTGTCCTTCTTCATTGTTCGCTCTCTTTCTGCTTTAGTTTCAATCTCACGTCTCTGAACTCTGAGTCACAGACCTCCTGCTGATGTACTTTTCACTTATATCACACAAAAGGAGCGGTGGTTGCTCACTGTATTTGGTCTTTCTCTAGTGTTTCTCTCGGGTTTCTTGCTCTGGTCTCTCTCTGGTCTCTCTCTCTGGTCTCTCTCTGGTCTCTCTCTGGTCTCTCTCTCTGGTCTCTCTCTCTGGTCTCTCTCTCTGGTCTCTCTCTCTGGTCTCTCTCTGGTCTCTCTCTGGTCTCTCTCTGGTCTCTCTCTGGTCTCTCTCTGGTCTCTCTCTGGTCTCTCTCTGGTCTCTCTTTCTGGTCCCTCTCTGGTCCCTCTCTGGTCCCTCTCTCTGGTCTCTCTCTCTGGTCTCTCTCTCTGGTCTCTCTCTCTGGTCTCTCTCTCTGGTCTCTCTCTCTGGTCTCTCTCTCTGGTCTCCTCTCTCTGGTCTCCTCTCTCTGGTCTCTCTCTCTGGTCTCTCTCTCTGGTCTCTCTCTCTGGTCTCCTCTCTCTGGTCTCTCTCTCTGGTCTCCTCTCTCTGGTCTCTCTCTCTGGTCTCTCTCTCTGGTCTCCTCTCTCTAGTCTCTCTCTACTCCCTCTGCTTTCCAGTGAGTTTCAATCTCACGTCTCTGAACCCTGTGAGTCAGAGACCTCCTGCTGATGTGCTTTTCACTTCTTATATCAAACTAAAGGAGGTTGTTTCTATGAAGCCGACGCTGCAGGAGGCGCAGCGACCGAACAGTGAGTGATGGAGTAACGACAGAGACACCGGGCATTGAGGCCACGGCAAAAACCATCGCAAATCAATTAATGAAAGATTCATCTCTTCAGGATACATGTTATCTTTTACATACTTGTAGGAAGAAGTCCTGGGAGTCACTATTTGACTCTGAGCTGAGAGCTGATTGGCTGAAAAAGTGGGTCTAAAGATGTGACTGAAACCAGAAAAACTTTTTTAGAGACTGGAAAGAGACACGAGGATTTTAAACCATAGTTCATTTTTTTGTGGTTTTGAAGTTAGGTCTCTTAGCTTTAAATTCACAGGTGTATAGTCTCAGGTTTCTCTCTGGTCTCTCCTTCTCTGGTCTCTCCCTCTCTGGTCTCTCCCTCTCTATGGTTTCTCCTTCTCTATGGTTTCTGTTTCTCTCTGGTCTCTCTCTCTCTCTTCCTCTCTGGTCTCTCCCTCTCTCTGGTCTCCCTCTCTCTGGTCTCCCTCTCTCTGGTCTCTCCCTCTCTCTCTCTGGTCTCTCCCTCTCTCTCTCTCTGGTCTCTCCCTCTCTCTGGTCTCCCTCTCTATGGTCTCTCCCTCTGTATGGTCTCTCCCTCTCTCTGGTCTCTCCCTCTCTCTGGTCTCTCCCTCTCTCTCTCTCTGGTCTCCCTCTCTCTGGTCTCCCTCTCTCTGGTCTCTCCCTCTCTCTCTCTCTGGTCTCTCCCTCTCTATGGTCTCCCTCTCTCTGGTCTCTCCCTCTCTCTGGTCTCTCCCCCTCTCTGGTCTCTCCCCCTCTCTGGTCTCTCCCCCTCTCTGGTCTCTCCCCCTCTCTGGTCTCTCCCTCTCTTTGTCCTCTCCCTCTCTCTGGTCTCCTTCTCTCTGGTCTCTCCCTCTCTCTCTGGTCTCTCCCTCTCTCTCTCTGGTCTCTCCCTCTCTCTCTCTGGTCTCTCCCTCTCTCTCTCTGGTCTCTCCCTCTCTCTCTCTGGTCTCTCCCTCTCTCTCTCTGGTCTCTCCCTCTCTCTGGTCTCTCCCTCTCTCTGGTCTCTCCCTCTCTCTGGTCTCTCCCTCTCTCTGGTCTCTCCCTCTCTCTGGTCTCTCCCTCTCTCTGGTCTCTCCCTCTCTCTGGTCTCTCCCTCTCTCTGGTCTCTCCCCCTCTCTGGGTTCTCCCTCTCTCTGGTCTCTCCCTCTCTCTGGTCTCTCCCTCTCTCTGGTCTCTCCCTCTCTCTGGTCTCTCACTCTCTCTGGTCTCTCCCTCTCTCTGGTCTCTCCCTCTCTCTGGTCTCTCCCTCTCGCTGGTCTCTCCCTCTCTCTGGTCTCTCCCTCTCTCTGGTCTCTCCCTCTCTCTGGTCTCTCCTTCTCTCCCTCTCTCCCTCTCTCTGGTCTCTCCCTCTCTCTGGTCTCTCCCTCTCTCTGGTCTCTCCCTCTCTCTGGTCTCTCCCTCTCTCTGGTCTCTCCCTCTCTCTGGTCCCTCTCTCTACCAGAACACCTGCATGGTCTTTCTTACATCTCTGTGTTACTAAACCATAGGGAGCACATGTGACAAAAAACAATCAAATTCTTCATAAAATCCTTAATGAAACCCATTAAGTAACAATCAGCCGTGCGTTTTCTGTCACCTCTCTCTGCCTTCCACCTGGAGACCAATGCTTTTAACTGAAGGTGTTGTGAAAAAAGGACATTCAATTCAAAAGTGTAAATGGGTTTTGAGTTCATACATTTATAAAGAGATCTGGGTTTGAACGCTGTTGTTTTGATTTGAAGCCGATGGTTCTTTTCAAATGGAAATGAGAAGATTTCATTCACAGGTTTCTACAGAAGAGAGAAAGATTCAAATTATGCGCTGCTTATAAGTGACTATATTGTAATTTTTTCACTCTGGTGTCTCTCTCTGGTGTCTCTCTCTGGTGTCTCTCTCTGGTGTCTCTCTCTGGTGTCTCTCTCTGGTGTCTCTCTCTGGTGTCTCTCTCTGGTGTCTCCCTCGCTGGTCTCCCTCTCAGGTCTCCCTCTCAGGTCTCTCTCTCAGGTCTCTCTCTCTGGTCTCTCTCTCTCTCTGGTCTCTCTCACTCTGGTCTCTCTCTCTGGTCTCTCTCTCTCTGGTTTCTCTCTGGTCTCTCTCTCTCTGGTCTCTCCCTCTTTGGTCTCTCCCTCTGGTCTCTCTCTCTGGTTTCTCTCTCTCTCTGGTCTCTCTCTCTCTCTCTCTCTCTCTCTCTCTCTGCTCTCTCTCTCTCTCTCTCTGGTCTCTCTCGCTCAGGTCTCTCTTTCTCTGCTCTCCCTTTGGTCTCTCTCTGGTATCTCTCTGGTCTCTATCTCTCTGGTTTCTCTCTGGTCTATTTCTCGCTGGTCTCTCTCACTCAGGTCTCCCTTTGGTCTCATGGTCTCTGCTCTCCTTTTGGTCTCTCTCTGGTCTCTCTTTCTCTGCTCTCCTTTTGGTCTCTCTCTGGTCTCTCTTTCTCTGCTCTCCTTTTGGTCTCTTTCTGGTCACTCTTTCTCTGCTCTCCCTTTGGTCTCTCTCTGGTCTCTCTTTCTCTGCTCTCCCTTTGGTCTCTCTCTGGTCTCTCTTTCTCTGCTCTCCCTTTGGTCTCTTTCTGGTCACTCTTTCTCTGCTCTCCCTTTGGTCTCTTTCTGGTCTCTCTTTCTCTGCTCTCCTTTTGGTCTCTCTCTGGTCTCTCTTTCTCTGCTCTCCTTTTGGTCTCTCTCTCTTTGCACTGCGCTGTAAGACTTAAATAGAAAGGTTTTTTGACACACTCCTTCTGTGGTTAGAAACCAACACGGGTCTAAACAACACACATTTCTTTCACAAACTTTAAAAATCCTTGAGAAAACCATCAACACGACTACATCCCATGGTCCCAACGTTTCTCCAATAATATTCTCCAACATATTTAGCAACAAGAAGAGACTGGATTCTGCTCAGTTTTTATTTCCCTTTCCTAAATCCCAGACCTGGAGCAGGCTCAAAAACAGCATGTTGTAAAGCTTTCATCTGGGCGACAGATTCACAGAGAATTAGAGCAAAATGAATGTATTTGAAAGGATTAAAAACAAATCAGCGTCTGGTTTTGGGTAAAAATAATGTTATCTGCAAGAAACTACACTCCGGCAGTAATCAGAGAGTGAGAACAGATAGATTGAGAAGAGGTGGGACGTCTGTGTTTCTTCTGCTGCCCTACAGACCCTCCGGCAAGCCAAGTGGAACACTCCGGACCTGCTCCCTCTGACTGAGGACGTTAGAGCCATGCATGCACATATTGAGGTATGTCGACCTGAATATGTGCAAACCCTAATAAGTGAGCCAACGTCTAAGCATTGGTCTAAACTGGCAGTTTTGACTCTTTGTGAGGTCATCATTTTCAATCGAAGAAGGGAAGGTGAGGTTTCAAAGATGCCACTGACAGCCTTTACCTTAAGAAGTAAGACTGGGATCCATTCTGACATTGCTCTGGGACTGTCCCAACTTGAGAAAAAGCTGTGTCAGCATTTTCAACGCATTGAAATTAAAGGGAAAAGAAGTCGGAAAGTGCCGGTTCTTTTGACTCCTGAAATGATTGCTTCGATGGAGGTGCTGGTGGAGAACAGAAGGGCCTGTTCCATCTCTGACCATAACCCATACTTCTTTTCCCGCCCGGGCGCAGACACCCACATCAGGGGATCAGACTCCCTACGCCAGGTAGCCAAAGAATGTGGTGCGGTGCATCCAGAGATGCTATCCTCAACCAAACTTAGAAAGCACATAGCTACTATGTCTACAGTTCTCAATATGAAAGAGAATGAGATGGACATACTTGCCAACTTCCTCGGCCATGACATTCGCATCCACAGGCAATATTACAGACTACCAGAGGGGACACTGGAGCTGGCCAAAATCAGCAAAGTGTTGATGGCCATGGAGCAGGGAAGAGTGACGGAATTCGAAGGAAAGAGCCTCGACCAGATACAAATTGAGCCTGAAGGTAATTCTTGATATTATTAAAATATGTATGATTTTTTTCCCCTAAAGGCCACTTGTATTTTTATTTTCTGTGCGACAGGGAGAGCAGTAGAGATCCTCTCACAAACGGACGGGCT